TATATATAGCTGTTTAGTAACTGATTCAGGTTTAAGAATTGTTTCAACATTACATCAACTGCTGATGCATCAACACTTTGTTTTATTTGAATTATCACTCAGTATGTTATTTAACCGTGTAGCCTATTACTATGTCTTTGGAAGGCTTTTAACACATTAAAATGCACAAATTCACATTATTTCTTATTTATGTGTAATGCAGGGATTCTCAAACGTTTGTGTCATCTGAACCTCTTTCACCTATATACATGAAGCACCCCTGAGATTTTAAAATAAATATTTTAAAAATGAAGTATCACATTTGTATGTTCACAGTTCTCTGACAATGGTTTATGCATTTATTTGATCCAAAATACAGCAAAAGCGGTAATATTGTGAAATATTTTTACTATTTAAAATAACTTTTCTATTTGAATATATTTTCAAATGTAATGTATTTCTGTGAACAAAGCTGAATTGTCAGCATCATTACTCCAGTCCTCCTTCAGAAAGAATTCTAATATGCAGATTTTCTGTTCAAGAAACATTTTATTATTATTTCTATTATTATTATTATCAATATTTAAAACATTCTTTGATGAATAGAAAGATCCAAAGATCAGCATCTGAAATAAAAAGCTTTTGTAACATTATACACTATACCATTCAAAAGCTTGGAGTCAGTATTTTAATTTTTTTATTTAGCGAGGATGCTTTAAATTGATCAAAAGTGATGCTAAAGACATTTGTTACAAAAGATTTCTATTTCAGATAAATGCTGTTCTTCTGAATTTTCTATTCATCAAAGAAACCTAAAAAAAATTCTACTCGGCTGTTTTCAACATAATAATAATAATAATAAGCATTTTTTGAGCAGCAAATCAGAATATTAAAATGATTTTTGAAGGATCATGTGACGTAATGATAATAAAATATATTCAAATAGAGAACAGTTATTTTACTGTTTTTGCTGTACTTTGGATCAAATAAATGCAGGCTTGGTGAGCAGAAGAGACTTCTTTAAAAAACATTAAAAATCTTACTGTTCAAAAACTTTTGACTGGTAGTGTATATATTATTGTGGAAGGATGGGGAAAAGTACATTTGAAGCTCTTGATTTAAAGTAGTATCTGCAGGCACAGCTGTGTTTGTCAGCTTACAGTATGTTTAAAAGCCACCTGGCCTTCTCTCCGCTTGTTGCCATGGTGATCTTGTGTATCTAGCAGGGAACGGCACTTTCATATCTCTCAGTGGTACATCCAACGAGTCCCATGATACCGCAGGAGTAAGACAACAGATGATATCTGCCTTTTATTAATCTGCCTCTTAGAGCGCTTACAATGCTTTCAGCACCGTCACAAGAAACCCATTGACTACCGTTATCTAAAACCCCCTTCATTTTTTACCCAGGTTACGAGGGAGTCCCCAAGTTTTTCGATGACCTGTTGAGTCACATCACCAGTGTCCTGCAAGGTCAGGTGTCTAATGGAGCAGCGTGTGGTCATCTGAGATTGAACGGGATAGCTCAGAGCCCATCTGTGGCCTGCGGGATGCACTGTGGCATGCTGGGAAATGAAAGCAGTTGGTTTATGGACAGCGAGGGGATAAAGAAGGGTCCCCATCAGGGACTGAGTTGCGGTGGTGCTTGCATGGCTCCAAACTTTCACCACCATGGCAGGTCGAGTTTAGCAGCGGAGACATCCTCGCAGTGACGCCGCGAGCCAACGCAATAGAATATTTCTTTACTGTTCACAAACCAAATGAACCCTCACCAAAGGGTAGGTGTATAGAAGATTCCTTTGTGCCAAATGTGAATTGTGTAGGAAATGATTGAATGTGTCTTCTCATTTATTTAATTTCATGTTTGGAATATGATTAGATTTTTTTTATGAGTGTTGCACTGAACTTGATTTGCAGAAATAGGGCTTTGTGGAGAAACTACAAATTTTATTGATGTTAATATATTAATGAAATACTTGAAATGACAATTGGTGTCATGATTTGGGTGTAAGACATTTAAATAAGTGTCCAGCTGGCACTAAGGCTTCTCTTCTTGCATGTATCATAAATTCTGGCCAAATAAGAGAGTTTGAAGCTCTTTAGTGCTGTCTGAAGCAGTCTGCTGGTAATTAATATCTTAAAACATGGCAACAGCAGCTCTGCCTGCTTTTTTAAAAAAGATTGAAGAGTAAGATTTTAAGGCTGAATCATTTCATATCTGAAGGGCCTGTAAAAACCTCCCACACTAGCAGGTGCTATGAGATTGTATAGGGGTTATTTATGCATTGATTGCAAATAGAAAATGAACCAACTTCACCAAAAAAAAGTTAACCCAAAAAATTTTATTCAGTCATCATGACTTTCTTTCTTCGTTAGAACACAAAAGATGATATTTTGAAAAATGTTCCAACTGATTTTGTTGACACAATGAAAGTCACTAGGGTTAAAACCACACTGAACTTTTCACTGAGCACTTTCATTGTATTGACAAAAAAACACATTTATCATTTTTTTTCCTTCACAGAAAAACTAAATTCATTCAGGTTTGGAATGACATGAGGGTGAGTAAATGATGACAGAATTTGCATTGTTGGGTGAACTTTCCCTGAAATATGATTGACAAATGTATTAAATTTGCTATTTTGACAATGTAAGTTTGTTAGTCTGTTTTATCTCCATCACGTTATACTTGTACATGATGTATAGTTTTTAAATATGGTCATTTTTTATTTTGAGACAGAAAAAAGCCTCTTAAATAACAAAAGAATGAAAAGGACAATAAAATCAAACTTTAGCACAAAAAATTCTTTGACTGATTGTCTGCTGTACTGACATCAGTTTTGGGTCGCTTTGAGGTTTAGTTCAGACTCACACTTTGTGGAATCAGTTTGAAACACTTCTTTTTGATCTTTATTTGTTTTCTTGAAACCCAAAAAGCATTTAATTACAGTCATCACCATATCTAATAAAAACATTATTGCCTATGGATCATAAGACTCCATAATATCAGGTACAATCTATCAGATATATATCCTTACGTATATTAAAATTTCAACCCAGTGTGATCATTCTGGGTAGCAAATATTTTACATTAAATGTACTCAATGCCCAAATTTCTTCAGGAAGCAAGCACAATAAAGCAAAGCGGAGGAGCTGGGAGACAAAAGTGAAGGGACCTCTGAATGTCTGACACCAGAGAAGTCACTTTGAGGTTTCATTTTACACATGGAGGGAATAAGCAGAGAATCTGCGGCGCTGAGATAAGAGCTTGCACTGCTGTGGACTGAGCAAGAAGGTGAGAGCCTCATCTCCAGTTAACATGCCTTTCTACTGAAGGAGAGATGAAGGGCAAAGTGGAAAGAGAAGAAGAGCTGGAGCAGCTCAGCCTCGTCTCAGATCATGGCGCTTCTGAGCCACACTCTCCAGTTCAGACTCAATGGCAGCCAGACTTTCGATCTCAGCATCCTGATAACAGAAGAGAGAAAATCAGGCCATTAGTTCATTTTAAAATGCTTCATGAACATTTACATGTACACTACCATTTAAAAGTTTGGTCTCTTATGCACGCCAAGACCGTATTTATCTATTTGCATTTATAATTTTTTGAAATTAATAATTTAGGATAACTATTCTATTCTAATTGTTCTGTTCTATTTTAATATATTTTAAAGTGTCATTTATTCCTATAATGTTAAAGCTGAATTTTCAGCATTCATTACTCCAGTCTTTAGTGTCACGTGATCTTTCAGAAATCATTCCAGTATACTGATTGTCATTTTCATATACATATTTTTAAATTTATTCAGAAAAAAAACTATAAAATATCAATACAAAACTATAGTATGACTCCAGATGATTTGGAATTAGTCACATGGATTATTTTTGTTGTTTTTGTCATTTTTGAAGCTTGACCAACATGGTCACTATGAACCATGGATTCACTGAAAGCCACGTAAAGAAAAAAAACATTCTACTTGTGTTCCTCAGAAGAAAAATACTGTTTGTGTTTTAAACATTAAGAAAACGTGTAAGAGTCCTACCCCTGTCTTTCTGCTGCCGCTGCCCTCTTCATCTCGTTTGTCCTGTGGTTGAGTTTGTGCCATGAGCTGCAGCTCCTGCTCCTCAGGGCTCCTCCACAGCTCCCCCTCTTGACCTTCTCTCTCCTTAGAGTGCTGTGGTGCTTCCCAGTGCTCATCCAGCTTTGGGCTTGCCTCTACTCTCTTGTGGGACAGTTTGCTCACATGACTCCAGCGCTTCACTCCAACTTCTCTTTTCTTCTCCTCCTCTTCTTCCAGCTCTTCTTTTGAATGTGTTCTCTCTGTTTCAGCTCCCTTGTGCTCCTCGCTGTCCTCCATGATGGATTGTTTTATGTCGGGGTTTGCTTCATGATCATCTGTGGCTGTTTCCCCTTCAGATAAAAAGGAAACAAAGTTATAATTATTATATTATCTCAGTCTCTTCTCTCTATTCTACACACACAGACACACACACACACACACATTTACTTTAGTGCAGCATCAGCAAACCCAGCACTCTTCTAAATGAAATGCTCTCTCTTGCCAGCTCACTGCTTGATGCCTCTTATCCTGAAATATAAGCCCCCGTCCTGTTCTTCTATCTGTACTCATGAATACAGATTCCCAAATCATTGTTTCTATTAACAGACACACTAAAGCAAAGTCACCTGAAATGTCTGGCATTTTTCACCAAGTTCATCTGAGATCTAAGGGGCCACTTTTAACAAGCTACAGGCAGCTTGCTGATCTGGATGGCCTCCAACATCAATTATTGAATCGATTCAGCGGGCCACAGCACAGCGTGGATTTCATTACATAGATGGAGGCACTGTCACACCGGCCTGTTCATGGAGCACTGCTAAATTCCCCCATCAATCTTCATTCCCCATCCCTCCCTCCTGTCCCGTTTTAACCTTGTTGTGTCTTAGACACAATCTCCAGCTGTTATTCCTAACCTCTTCAATGAAATAAACAAGTGCCTGTTATATGAATTCTCCCTGGACATCCCTGTTACTCACAGTCACACTTTCAAAGAGTAGTGATTACGTTGCTATTGATCGAATGAAGGAGGGGTGACAATTTGTTAGTAGGAGCACTATGGCTATTTGTTCATCTGCTGGGCTTAAAGCTGTACACATCTGATCATGGATGGATTATGATACTTTGAGGCCATTCATGTTACAAATGTATAATGTAATGGCCAAATAACAATTGTAAATGTGCTAAATAATACCTCAGTTTTGAGATGAAAAGCCACAAAGAGGAGAAAAACACATAATTAAAATCTAAAGAAATGACAATGTTGCGTGACTAGAGCGAAGTAAAAATATTGATGTTCTGTTGTTATAACTCATAATCACTAATTAGAATTTACTATGTTTTGTCAAAACAAAACATTACATAGCAATTTTTTTTTATTAATATTTACCTAATGCATCAAGAAATCACATTTTACCTGAGTTATGTAACTCTTATCAAATGAATGGCACCAGTGTCCATTTCACGATTGTTATGAGTCTGTTATTTTTAGTGGATCTAAAACCTACATTGGTTACCAGTGCTATCTGATTCACGAACAACTGACCCTTATGAGCCGGTTCTTTTTAATGAATCAAAACCATGCAGTGCAACCAGTATAGTCCAATTCACAAACAAATGACTCTTTTGAGCTGGTTCTTTGTAGTGAATCAAAAACATACAGCACGATCTGTGTAGCCTGAATCCTGAAATGAATGACTCTTATAAATCAGTTCTTTTAATAAATATTTAAAAAAAAAAACAGTTATCAGTTTGAAACACTGCCTTGGTGTTATTTACAGCAATAGCAGAGAGAGATTTTTTTATATTTAAAGGGTTAGTTCACCCAAAAATTAAAATTCTGTCATTAATTACTCACCCTCATGTCGTTTCAAACCCCTAAGACCATCATTCATCTTCGGAACACAAATTAAGATATTTTTGATGGAATCTGAGAGCTGTCTGACCCTGCATAGACAGCAATACAACTGAAATGTTCCCAAGTCCAGAGATGCAGCAAGGAGATCTGTAAAATAATCCATGTGACATCAGTGGTTCAACCGTAATTTTACGAAGCTACGAGAATACTTTTTGTGCACAAAAGAAAAAAAATAACGTCTTTATTCAACAATTCGTCTCCTCCGCGTCACCCTGTAGCGCCATTTTGGAGAATATCGAATATACGAACTGTTGAATAAAGTCGTTATTTTATTTCTTTTGTGCACAAAAAGTATTCTCGTAGCTTCGTAAAATTACGGTTGAACCACTGATGTCACATGGATTATTTTACGCGGCGCTGAGATAAGAGCTTGCACTGCTGTGGACTGAGCAAGAAGGTGAGAGCCTCATCTCCAGTTAACATGCCTTTCTACTGAAGGAGAGATGAAGGGCAAAGTGGAAAGAGAAGAAGAGCTGGAGCAGCTCAGCCTCGTCTCAGATCATGGCGCTTCTGAGCCACACTCTCCAGTTCAGACTCAATGGCAGCCAGACTTTCGATCTCAGCATCCTGATAACAGAAGAGAGAAAATCAGGCCATTAGTTCATTTTAAAATGCTTCATGAACATTTACATGTACACTACCATTTAAAAGTTTGGTCTCTTATGCACGCCAAGACCGTATTTATCTATTTGCATTTATAATTTTTTGAAATTAATAATTTAGGATAACTATTCTATTCTAATTGTTCTGTTCTATTTTAATATATTTTAAAGTGTCATTTATTCCTATAATGTTAAAGCTGAATTTTCAGCATTCATTACTCCAGTCTTTAGTGTCACGTGATCTTTCAGAAATCATTCCAGTATACTGATTGTCATTTTCATATACATATTTTTAAATTTATTCAGAAAAAAAACTATAAAATATCAATACAAAACTATAGTATGACTCCAGATGATTTGGAATTAGTCACATGGATTATTTTTGTTGTTTTTGTCATTTTTGAAGCTTGACCAACATGGTCACTATGAACCATGGATTCACTGAAAGCCACGTAAAGAAAAAAAACATTCTACTTGTGTTCCTCAGAAGAAAAATACTGTTTGTGTTTTAAACATTAAGAAAACGTGTAAGAGTCCTACCCCTGTCTTTCTGCTGCCGCTGCCCTCTTCATCTCGTTTGTCCTGTGGTTGAGTTTGTGCCATGAGCTGCAGCTCCTGCTCCTCAGGGCTCCTCCACAGCTCCCCCTCTTGACCTTCTCTCTCCTTAGAGTGCTGTGGTGCTTCCCAGTGCTCATCCAGCTTTGGGCTTGCCTCTACTCTCTTGTGGGACAGTTTGCTCACATGACTCCAGCGCTTCACTCCAACTTCTCTTTTCTTCTCCTCCTCTTCTTCCAGCTCTTCTTTTGAATGTGTTCTCTCTGTTTCAGCTCCCTTGTGCTCCTCGCTGTCCTCCATGATGGATTGTTTTATGTCGGGGTTTGCTTCATGATCATCTGTGGCTGTTTCCCCTTCAGATAAAAAGGAAACAAAGTTATAATTATTATATTATCTCAGTCTCTTCTCTCTATTCTACACACACAGACACACACACACACACACATTTACTTTAGTGCAGCATCAGCAAACCCAGCACTCTTCTAAATGAAATGCTCTCTCTTGCCAGCTCACTGCTTGATGCCTCTTATCCTGAAATATAAGCCCCCGTCCTGTTCTTCTATCTGTACTCATGAATACAGATTCCCAAATCATTGTTTCTATTAACAGACACACTAAAGCAAAGTCACCTGAAATGTCTGGCATTTTTCACCAAGTTCATCTGAGATCTAAGGGGCCACTTTTAACAAGCTACAGGCAGCTTGCTGATCTGGATGGCCTCCAACATCAATTATTGAATCGATTCAGCGGGCCACAGCACAGCGTGGATTTCATTACATAGATGGAGGCACTGTCACACCGGCCTGTTCATGGAGCACTGCTAAATTCCCCCATCAATCTTCATTCCCCATCCCTCCCTCCTGTCCCGTTTTAACCTTGTTGTGTCTTAGACACAATCTCCAGCTGTTATTCCTAACCTCTTCAATGAAATAAACAAGTGCCTGTTATATGAATTCTCCCTGGACATCCCTGTTACTCACAGTCACACTTTCAAAGAGTAGTGATTACGTTGCTATTGATCGAATGAAGGAGGGGTGACAATTTGTTAGTAGGAGCACTATGGCTATTTGTTCATCTGCTGGGCTTAAAGCTGTACACATCTGATCATGGATGGATTATGATACTTTGAGGCCATTCATGTTACAAATGTATAATGTAATGGCCAAATAACAATTGTAAATGTGCTAAATAATACCTCAGTTTTGAGATGAAAAGCCACAAAGAGGAGAAAAACACATAATTAAAATCTAAAGAAATGACAATGTTGCGTGACTAGAGCGAAGTAAAAATATTGATGTTCTGTTGTTATAACTCATAATCACTAATTAGAATTTACTATGTTTTGTCAAAACAAAACATTACATAGCAATTTTTTTTTATTAATATTTACCTAATGCATCAAGAAATCACATTTTACCTGAGTTATGTAACTCTTATCAAATGAATGGCACCAGTGTCCATTTCACGATTGTTATGAGTCTGTTATTTTTAGTGGATCTAAAACCTACATTGGTTACCAGTGCTATCTGATTCACGAACAACTGACCCTTATGAGCCGGTTCTTTTTAATGAATCAAAACCATGCAGTGCAACCAGTATAGTCCAATTCACAAACAAATGACTCTTTTGAGCTGGTTCTTTGTAGTGAATCAAAAACATACAGCACGATCTGTGTAGCCTGAATCCTGAAATGAATGACTCTTATAAATCAGTTCTTTTAATAAATATTTAAAAAAAAAAACAGTTATCAGTTTGAAACACTGCCTTGGTGTTATTTACAGCAATAGCAGAGAGAGATTTTTTTATATTTAAAGGGTTAGTTCACCCAAAAATTAAAATTCTGTCATTAATTACTCACCCTCATGTCGTTTCAAACCCCTAAGACCATCATTCATCTTCGGAACACAAATTAAGATATTTTTGATGGAATCTGAGAGCTGTCTGACCCTGCATAGACAGCAATACAACTGAAATGTTCCCAAGTCCAGAGATGCAGCAAGGAGATCTGTAAAATAATCCATGTGACATCAGTGGTTCAACCGTAATTTTACGAAGCTACGAGAATACTTTTTGTGCACAAAAGAAAAAAAATAACGTCTTTATTCAACAATTCGTCTCCTCCGCGTCACCCTGTAGCGCCATTTTGGAGAATATCGAATATACGAACTGTTGAATAAAGTCGTTATTTTATTTCTTTTGTGCACAAAAAGTATTCTCGTAGCTTCGTAAAATTACGGTTGAACCACTGATGTCACATGGATTATTTTACCGATCTC